TATATGATATATGTGAATATATACATATATGTATAAATATATGTGTGTGTGTGTGTGTGTGTGTGTGTGTGTGTGTGTAACAACATTAGTGTAAAAGGAAGCCTGAAATTTCAAAAAGAGTAAGGAAGGTTATATTGAGGGACTTGAAGGGAGGAATGGATTAAAGGAAATAATATAATTATACTATAATCTCAAAAAAAATAAAAGAGTTTTTTAGATGTATTTATTTTATGTATGCAAGTAAACTAGAAGAGGGTATTATTTCCCATTACAGATAGTCATGAGCCACCATGTGGTTTCTGGGAACTGAACTCAGGACCTCTGGAAGAGCTGTCAGTGTTCTTAACCACTGAGTCATCTCTCCAGCTGAAAATAAATCATTTTAAAATAAATAGACTGAGATTTTTTTTAAAAAGCAGGGAATGCTGAAACAATCAATTTAGGAGATCTCCTTTTAGTTTCTTCTTGAGTTCCTGGACTGACTTCCCTCACAGCTGTGTGCTCTGTGGATGCAGAGCTGGCGAGGTGAGACGGCTGAAGCTTTTGTTGCCCTGAGAAGCACGATGGGTTCCAGATGTTGACCATTGAGCCAGAAAGTTTATATTCACCAGAGTATGTGTTTGCTTAAATACAATTGTTGCTATGCCCTAGTTCTTTAACTTTAACATAAAATGCACTTATTAGTTTTGAATTTTTTCAGAAGCCTGTAGTTAGGAAAATTTGTACCATTAGAAAGACCTCGGACTTTAAAAGCATTAAAAAAAATTTAAAAAACAGGGGAAATTTAAATTTTCTATAAGTATTTCATATTGGGATATTAACCTGAGATTTTGAAGATGAAGAAAAGAAAGGTTATGGTTTAAGAGTGAAGTATTTGTGTGTTCCATTTACACAGGATAGAGGGTCTAGCTAATTTTTATTATCAATATCACAGTATCTACATTCACCTGGGAAGAAGGAAACTCAGTTGAGTTGGAAGATTAACCTTGGAAAAATTCCCCTGTGGCAAGGTCTATGAGAGATTGTTTCCTTGAAGACCCAGCCCTCCATCCCTGAGCAGGAAGATAGCTAACAGAACATTTATCAGTACACAATCAATAAACAGCATTTTTCCATAGTTTTTCCATAGTTTCTCCTTCAGTTGCAGCTCTAACATCCCTCAGTGGAGGACTATGACCTAAAAAAATAAAATAAAATAAAATAAGCTAAAATAGATCCTTTCTTCCCCAAGCTGCCATCTGTCAAACTAGGTCTGCTAGTGAACTCGTTTACATGGCTATACTAATCAATGGACCTCTTACTGTTGTCCTTTAAAATTCCCAGATCTCATCAAGTTTTCATTGATGAGTAAATTTCTAACATACAAATTCTCTATGACAAAGAACAACTATATCAACATAGACATTCATTATCTTTTCTCTTGCTTCTTTTATTTTCTGACATTATATTCTAGTTCTATCATTTTCTCCTTCTCTCCCAAGTCCTCCAATACACACCTCCTTGCCCTATCTCAAATCCATGGCTTCTTCTTTTACCTATTGCTACATTATCTATATCTATATAAATTTATATTCCTAAACACAACCTGACCAGGCTATATAATGTTACCTGTATGTGTGTTTTTAAGGAGTACCATTTGGTGTTGGGTATGTTCTATTCTGGGGAATAAATTTTCAACACATGAAATTCAGGAGACAGAGAATAACTATATGAACATGATGCTCATTATCTTTTTATTTCTTTTATTTTTAGATATTATATCAATTTATAAGTTTACATTTCTATTTTACAACTATAATAATTTTATGTATTATAATTATATTATTTTATGTTATACAATTAGTAATTATTTTCTTTTATAATATAATTATATCATTATATAAAGTGGTGTCTTCTTCCCTAGGGAAAACTATTCCTCCCACTCTCAGCGTTCCTCAGATGCCCCTCGTGGTCCTTTGTGTAGAGCTGAAGCCTCATGGGCTTTCCTCGTCTACTTTACGATGTCCATTTTTGTTTTCTTTATTCAGCTTATGTTTAGGCAGCCATCCTTATCTTTAATAGAGACAAAACTAAATTTGCTAAAATAAATAAAACATATTTCATAGAAACTAGTATACTACCACTTCTGAGTTTGACTTTGAGTTAACAATACCAATTTCTAAATATCTGTCGGGCCGTGGAAGGGCGTCTTGGTTCATGGGTTGGCATGGGCCTGGAACCCCGAGACTGCAGGTGTTTGGCCACGCCCCCAGAACCCAGGGCCCTGACTCGCAGTCTCATCTCCATTTAACCTGCATGGTCAGTCACATAAGACTCAGATAGAGGGCGTGACTAACAGGCCTCTGCCTCCAGAGATTTACATATTAATGAGCTATCTAATGGCGGGGGTGGGGGCATATCTAATTAAGTTATTCCTTCCTAATCCCTCCTCTTTACCACTCCCCATATAAGAGAGCTCCTCCTGGCATTTGGGGGAGGGGGGCGCACTCATATCTAGATCCAACTATCCATCATGGACAATAAAGCTACTCCTTGGAAACCCAGTCCACGTGTCTTCTGGGCCTGCTGCCGCCAAGCTTCCAGCCTCTGGAACCCTAGACCTTCTCTAGTACGTGCGAACCTGCCTGTGGGAAAGCCCCAGGACGCCCCTGCTGGCCAAACTCCTCCTCCTGTCTGCGAGTTGCTGCCTGGGGGCCCAGGGCAGCCCCGCGTGTTTTTCCCACAAATACCCTTAAGCTTTTCTAAAAAAGAAAGAATTGGTCCAGAATTGGAATGATTTTTCAGCATACGAGATAGCCAGCTGGAATGTTAGAAGCAAACAAGTATGAGGAGCGAGATCCTTCAATCCCATGCTGCGTGTTGTAAGCAGTGCTACTCCAGATGCTTTTGTATGACTTTTTGTGTCAGTGCGTTTTCTATTCTTGTAGCTGTGTCTCAAGTATTGAAATACCTTGGACCTGCAATAGCTGTAAATTTTGCATTTTGAAGTGTTCTCCAGATGTTTCATGAAAATCTGTACTATTCTAAAACCACCAGTAATATGAGATTGTAAATTGGTTGCATCCTTGTGAGCAGTTACCATTTTATCATAACCCTGCCAATCAATGTGAAATTTTGTTGTGCTGTGATTTTTTAATTTAAATGTCCCTATTAACTAATGATGGTACACATATTTTCAAGTATTCAATAGTGATTTATCTACTTCCAATAGAAAGATAATTTTTAAATGATCTGGCTATTTTTAACTGGATTATTTGGCTTTTAGCCATTAGAATATAAGAGCTCTTTAATTCTATCAATTGTTCTCCCTAAGATACATTACCTCAGATGTATTATTTTCATCTATCTATGGTGTCTTTTAAGGAACAAATTACTTTTAATTATGTTCAATTTTGCCATAACTTCTGATTGTAATATCTTATCCACATCAACTTCATGGGCATGAAATTCCACTTATGTATTTTTTGAAATGTTATTTTTAGATGTTATATTTAGTTATAGTATCCATTTTTGTTACCTTTTTCGTAGTATGAAAAGTTGAATATCAAATATTAACATGTAAGTTCATCTAACTGCCATTTGTTGGAAAAACATTCTTCTTACACCTAAATATTATGAAACCCATAATTCCAATGATTTATATATGTAACTTATTTATAGATTGACAATTTCCTGACATCTCCATGGCATATCATGGCTTTTGATTTCAGGTTCTCACCTATTTACTATAACTTAAAGTTCTGCTATAATGTTAATTAAAGTACAGCTTATACTGTTCATTACCTTATGGAGAAAGGCTTTAAGTTTTGACCATTAAGTATCACAAGGGTTGTATATGTGTGTGGTGGTCATTTTTCTTTGTGTAGATGCTGCTCTTACTGTAACAGAAAAAAATGTTGGTTTTAGTTTGTTTTTTTTTTTGGTAGCGTTATTGAGGGAATGACAAATAAGTCATGAAGAGTCCTTAACAGACTGAGTACTAACATTCTCATAGCAAAAGATAGATAGATAGATAGATAGATAGATAGATAGATAGATAGATAGATGGATGGATGGATGGATGGATGGATAGATAGATAGATAGATAGATAGATAGATAGATAGATAGATAGGCAGGCAGACAGACAGACAGACAGACAGACAGATAGAGATGGATATAGATATAGATGGATATAGATAGGTATATTCAGGGACAGATGTATCTTATCTTCATCTATAAGTGCCATATGTTGAAAAGTCTAATGTCTTAGACAGTCAAAATTGAAGATGCCAGCAAAATCCAAGCTTGAGTTCTGAAGTGAAAACGTCTGGTTTCTTTAAGAACTCAGGGTGTCATGTGATATTTTTCTGGAAGCTGTCTTGTGAGCAGGCATGTACTGTTTTGCTGAAAACAGACACAGGAAAGTATGTGTGTTGTTTAGAAATAATGTAACTAGAACCCCACAGGCAATGAAAGATCTCTCTTGCTTTGCTACACTACACAATGCTTGGCTGGTCTTCACTGGCCATCAAACCCTTTCCTGGTCTGTGATGGCTGTGCAAAGCTTCACTGGTCTTCGTTGGTCTTCACTTTGTAGAGAAAAACATGCTAATGGACTTCACATGTTATTGTGGCTGATTCTGGATAGTTCATATTACTGACACATGTAGATTTAGCAGAGCCTTGAAGTTTCTGTTGAATAGAACCCTGCTACTGATTCATGTTTGATATTTGGTATTTGACTGGACTGCAGGTATACTGACAATAAAGAGTGGAATCGCCACAAAGAACTACTTTTAAACAGGTCCAGAAACAAAAAAACCTAGTAACCTATCTCCACTACCTCTGGTTGGCATGCTAGAAGGGAGACTGAAGCATTCAAGAATCCTAAAGTGGGTTTAGAAAAATATAAGCCTACAGAGTTCTATTTAACACTTAAACACTTATGTGGTAAGATAATAGATACATACTGATCTCATTTTTTTTTCCACCTCTTTCTACATAGAACTCCTGGAGGAAAATGTTTCAAGGAAATCTTTCCCGAGTAACTGAGTTCATCCTTGCTAGGTTAACAGACAAACCTGAGCTGCAGCTGCCCCTCTTCCTCCTCTTCCTAGGAATCTATGTGGTCACAGTGGTGGGGAATCTGGGTATGATCACCCTGATACTATTCAGTTCTCACCTGCACACACCCATGTATTATTTCCTCAGTAGTCTGTCCTTCATTGACCTCTGCCAGTCCACCGTCATTATTCCCAAAATGCTGGTGAACTTTTTGGCAGTAAAGAACGTCATATCCTATCCTGAATGCATCATGCAGTTCTACTTTTTCGTTATTTTTGCTATTGCAGAGTGTCACATGCTAGCTGTGATGGCATATGACCGCTACGTTGCCATCTGTAACCCCTTGCTGTACAATGCTGTGATGTCCTATCAAGTCTGTTCCTGGATGATATTTGGAGTATATTGTATGGCTTTGATTGGTGCCACAGCTCACACAGTCTGCATGCTAAGAGTACATTTCTGTGAGGCTGATATAATAAACCATTACTTCTGTGATCTTTCCCCACTCCTGGAACTCTCTTGTTCTGATACTTTTATTAATGAAGTAGTAGTTTTATGCTTCAGTGTTTTTAACATCTTTGTTCCAACTCTGACTATTCTAAGCTCTTACATCTTCATCATTGCCAGCATCCTCCAGATTAAATCCACTGAGGGCAGGTCCAAAGCCTTCAGCACCTGCAGCTCACACATATCAGCTGTTGCTGTCTTCTTTGGTTCCCTTGCATTCACATACTTGCAGCCATCATCAGTCAGCTCCATGGACCAAGGGAAAGTGTCTTCTGTATTCTATACCATTGTTGTGCCCATGCTGAACCCCTTGATCTACAGCCTGAGAAATAAGGATGTCAAAGTTGCTCTAAATAAGTTCCTTGAAAGAAAGCTTTACTTGTGAACAAGACTGATTTGTCTTTACTAAAATTTTTGTTTAGAGGGCTAGCAAACAGTTCAGATGGATAAGTATAGCCACCATAAGATATGAGATTACTACTATTACTGCTTATTTGTAAGGTTTCCAAGGGCAGGGCCAGTTTTAGCCAATGTAACATATGAGGGAGATTATCTGTCTGGGATCCAGAGACTCCATCTGCTTATCATAGCACGCATCACACTAGTCAGTTTGTCAAACTCTCAAAGCCTTTTTATAAGTAATTCTGTATTGTTTACGTAGAAAAATGTTAATTTCACATAACAGATAGCAAATACATTTTGCCAGCATTCTTGATTATCTCAATATTCTGTGTAGTTAGCCTTTTAATGAAATATATTTCTAAGGATTTCAGACATTGTGATATCCAAAACAATTTTATTAAAAAGTAAACTGTGCAAACTATAATGACTGGTCTTTTCTAAGTGTGTGAACCTATATTTAAAAACATAGAGTGATATCTTATGTGGTAACATAGCTCCTACCCCTTCCAAAAAAACACACATAAAAAAAACTACAGTAGACAAGACACAGCTAAACAGGAATGAACATATTTCACACAAGCCTCTACAGAAGAGTGAAAGTAAGAACAAGAATTCTTATGTTCAAATATTTCTAATATTTGATGGTTTGACTCCAGCACATATCTGACCATGGCAGATTCAGAAGTGCATTATCTTACTATTGTGTAATACATATTATGTATTCAGACCTAGGAAGCAAAACTTAAAAAAATTATTTTCTGAATAATAACATATTAGTCAGAATTATTAAATATCCTCACATTTTAAAAAAGACTAACTATTCCCAAAAGAAAACACTAAATTAGAGACAGAGGGGGAGAAGGAGACTTCCCAAAAAAATATATTCCCAATTTTTCCCTTACCCAACTAAATTCCCATTGCTTCCCTTGAAACAGCAATCATAAAACTGAGTTTATGCTTACTCTTCCTATCCGGCCATCTCAGTAGCTCTAAGTGGCCTCCAAAACTGCAAAAATATATTGAGTTCCTTATGATGCCCTCCTGGTGGTAGCAAGATCTACAGAATCTTTCCTGTATACTATTTTTAAATTAATCATTCTGTTCATTTACATCTCAAATGATATCGCACTTCCCAGTTACCTCTCCATCACGACCCCAACCCATATCCACCCTCCCCTTCACCTGTATGAGGGTGCTCCCCCACCCACCCACACTCTTCCACCTCACTGCTTCAGCATCCCCCTATGCTGGGGCATCAAACCTCCTCAGGACAGAGGGCCTCCTGCCCCATTCTCTGTTTAGTTCTGTACCCCATTTTAATAGGGTTATTTGGTTCTCTGAAGTCTAACCAACCCCCTCTGAGCCTTCAGTAAAGGGGGCTAGTCGTATGAATGTAAGAGCCAAAAGAAATGGAGAATGATTATACAATTCCTTCTCCTGGGTATGGCACAGATAATGATGTCATGGTCTCATAGCACCTGTGACTGCCTTCAGTGGAACTACACAAGATTGGACCTATCAACAGTCAACCATGAGGAGTCCTGGTGGGGAGCCAATATTGATGGTGTCACAGAAACCACAGACCTTAAACATTCTCAAGTGATGATGTGTGGACAGAGGGGTATACTGTGGAACGCACAATGACTCACTGCACAACTTCCACAATGAGATGTTTTCTATGTGTTTTGTTGTTTTTATTTTGTTTGTTCATGTGTTTTTTTTTATTTGTAGTGGGGGTTAGGTTGCAAGAGCAGAGAGTGGATACGAAGGTATCTGGAGATGAGTGCAACCAAGGTGCATGATGTGAAATTCACAAAGAAAATCAATAAAAGTATGTAAGAGAAAGTCAAACATGGATCATGAAACAGAGCCATGAGGGGGAATACTGTGCAGCCCTATCTTTCCATACTATGCCATTGTATACTGATGGATAATAGGAAAAACCAATTATTGACTTTAGTTGTGTGCCCACTGAAGAGCCATCAAGTCTCCAATGAACAGTTCTAAATTCACAGTCACATAAATGATCCTGGTTAAACTCAGTAAGTCTTGAGAGAGAGAGAGAGAGAGAGAGAGAGAGAGAGAGAGAGAGAGCGCACAGACAGAGACAGAGACAGAAAGGGTGGAGAATCAGCAAAAACCTGAATGTGGAAAAAATGTAGTGATAGGACAGTAATACAGGTAGGGAGAATAGAAAGTATTTGGGCTGAAATTTTTATATGTGTATGGAACTGCCAAACAACAAAGTCAATAACACACACACACACATACACACATGCACTATAGCGAAGACAAGGCCAACTATTAACCTTAATAATTAAGAGCTGTTGGAGGTACCACTATGCATGACTTCAAGTTGTACTACAAGTTGTACTTTAGTAATAAAAACAACATAATATTAACCCAAAATAGACAAGTGGATCAATGGAATTGACTTGAAAAATGAGACTTAAGTCCATACATGTATAGATATCTGATTTTTAATGAAGAGGCCAGAAATACACTCTGGAACTAAAAACAGCATCTTCAACAAATTGCTTTGGTTTAATGGAAGGCTACATGTAGAAGAATCCAGAAAGAGTCATAGTTATCGTCCTGCACAAAACTCGGCTCCAATGACCAAAAACTTCAACACAGAACCAGAAACACTGAACCTTATATAAGAGAAAGTGAGAGATAGCTTTCAACTCATTGGCACAGAAAGACTTTCTGAACAGAATCCCTTAGCACAGGTGCTAAGATCAACTATTAATAAATGAAATTGAAAATTTTCATGAAACTGAAAAGCAAAGGACACCATCATTCAGACAGCATGGCAGGAAAAGATTTTTACCAACTCCACATCTGAAAGACAAAGTGAAGGGAATTTGAAGAGAAGTGTGGAAACCCAACACAGTAGAAACTTCTTATGTTCAGGAGTAGTTGACCAACATGTATCCAAAATGCATAAAGAATTCAAGAAATATTTATCAAAAATTTAATAATCCAAATAAAAAATGGGGTTCAGACCCAATCAGGAAATTCACAGTAGAGAAAACTCAAATGGCTGAGAAACACTTAAAGAAATAATCAACATCCAGGGAGATACAAATCAAATCTATTTTGAGATTTCATCTTACACCATCAGAATGGTTAAGATCAACTAAACAAGTGACAGTTCATGCTGACAATGATGTGGAATAAGGGGGAACACTCATGTATTGTTGGTGAGAGTGCAAACTTCTACAGCTAATATGGAAATCAGTATGGTGGTTCCTCAAGAACATGGGAATTGATTTACCTCAATATCCAGCTACAATAGTCTTGGGCATACAAACAAAGGATGTTTCATCCGACTACAGAGACACCTGCACAGATTCAGGGATAGCCCCATCTCCAGTTGTTGAAGACCCGCATGAAGACCAATCTGCACATCTGTTGCTGAAACCAAATACTCTTGCTCAAATCACCTTGGTAGTGGTGGTGGCACTCCTCACTACCTGCCCCAATGTTCTAAGTTCTCAATTAAAAGACACACACACACACACACACCACGTGCAATCTTATATTTTAATATGCTTTAAATAGCTCAATTGCTGGGCCACTTCCAAACCTCCAGGTGAGTGACACACTCCCTTCCTTCCGATATTCCTGAGTAATTACATGCTAAAACTCATATTCCATCCTGGCTGCCCCAGACCCAGACATGAAGTCCTCTCGGGCTGAATTCCCAAGCACCTATATACGTCAGGTATGTTTTCTGTCCGGCACCTCTCAGGCCTGCCCTGTACTCCTTTCCCTGCATGGTGCCCCTCCCTTCCCCCTCTCCAACCTCAAGTCTCTTCCCCGGGAATCCTAAAGTCCTACCTTTGTCTCCCTGCCCAAGCATTGGCTGCATGCAACTTTATTTACCAATCAAAACCAACTAGGGGCACGGACCTTCAGTGTCACACATGCAAACGTGCGATTTTTCATGCAATTTGGTGGACCAAATCCACAACACACATCTGCTAGATATGTGTTTGGTGTGGGGAGGTTCAGTCCATGCTTGCTCTTTGGTTGGTAGTTCAGTCTTTGGGAGCCCCCAAGGGTCTAGATTATTTGACTTTGTTGGTTTCTTGGAGCATCTCTACATGTTTCATGTCCCTCAGTTCATTCCCCAACTCTTCCACAAGACTCCCTGAGCGCCATCTAATGTTTGGCTGTGGGCCTCTACATCTGTTTTCATTGGCTGCTGGGTGGAACTCTCAAAGGACAAAACTTTTTGTAATAGACTATTCCCTTCTTTGAAAACTGGAAGATTCCATATACTAATGATTTCTTTAGATCTTACCATATTTATTATAGCGACAACAAACCCTTATATGTATATCGATGTATATGTAAGTCTGGCTGGTGTATAACATGTCTTTAGTGCTATCATTTTACGGGGCTAAGGGAATCTGAGCAAGCAGTAGCTGGCTTTCTGCAGGCTAACCACAAGGGGTGAATAGCCCAGGAAGTCAGAGCATCTTGGCAGCAGCTGGCCACAGAAATCAGGGCAAGACCACCACCGTTGGGACTCCACGTGGGGACTGGTGAGACCGCTGGTGCCAGTGTATAGCCAGCTTAGCATAGATCATTTTTTTAAACTGTATGCTACATTTCTCTAATGTTGTTACTTAGAATTTAACATTTAGATTTAGCATTGCATCTAAGAGAAATACTACTGTCAAATGTGACTAAAGTGAGATACATAAAGTGCTAATAAAATATACAGGATTTTAGTATCTATTAAAACATTTTTAGAAAGGCCTGTGTCATGTTAAACTCAGCCTTTATCTTTGTCCTTACCCCTGATGCTTCTCACCCAGAAACAGGTTTTGGATTCCATCCTTTTCTAGCATTTATAAACCTTTCAGGGCCAAGCACAAACGGTTGCTTGCCATGCATTTCCTACCACTCCAGGTTTTAACCAAGCATCCCACTACAGCATCCATCACACAGGCTATAGAAATGACGTTGTGTCTGTATGCAGTGGGTTGTTGAATAGCAACAATTTTCCTGTTTTCTTTTAACAACTATTCCATGTAAGGACATCAGGTAGAAGCTCCTGCTTATGATATATCTGGTATAGCTGGATCCCTTTTCTTTATTGGATACCAAGGACACTCCCAACATTCCCAACTGGCCCCAGTAACACTGAAGTATAGAAAGGAGGTTATCAGACTGTCAGTCAGCATAAGACCCACATAGTAGGGCTGTCACGGGTCATCTGCAGTCTGGGCTTTTATTTGCTTTATATTTTTAATTAGTTTGTTTTCATAAATATTAAATATTTTATACAATATATTTTGATCATCAATTTCTCCACTTTGAACTCCTCCCAGATGGGAGGAGTTAATCTCCCACCTCCCTACCCACAAAACTATTCTCTCTCTCTCTATCTCTCTCTCTCTCTCTCTCAAAAAAAAAATACAAATATACTGAAAGAAAATAAAATGAAGCAGAAAAATCTATGAAAAACAAAGAACAAAGAAACAAAAATCAAAATTAAGTTTATTTTGTTCTGGCCAATTGTTCCTGGGCATTAGCCCTGCCCTGGAGTGTGGTTGATACACCTGTGTCATCCTCCATTTTTTTCTTTTCCAGAAGTTTTCAGTTGCTAATAGCTTTATTTTTACCAACCCTATTTTAAAGTTAAGTGATAGATTTTTAACATATTGAAGAAATACCCATAGAAAGCACATTAAATTTCTATATCCAATAAAGATTCCAAAGTAAGTTTAAATACAAAAATTTATTGCAACTATTACCTCAAATCTGTATGTTAGTGAGTAGTGAATAGAACATTAAATGTAACTTTACTTTAACAAACAATTTTGTATGAAAATAGAGTCTGTAACAAAATATTCATGGTGTCTATCCATATTTATTTTTAAATTTAAAAAGAAACTATCCTAATCTATTAATCTTGTTAAAAACTCCTTTCATGTCTTTAATAATGTCTGAATATTTTAATGCGGACACAAAATGAACTACGCTTGCATTCACTCTACAATTTAAAATATTCTACTAATCATCATTTATGAATATATTATAATATTTAAATACAGTTAACTTAGTGAAGTCAACAAAGGTAAATAAAAACATATGGCTCCTCTAGTTTTTTGCTTTCCCTGCATTCATATTTGACATATAAAATAATTCTTTAAATATATATTTTACAATTTTCCTGACATTTTAAGATTTTGAATGCCTTGCCTAAAAATGTCTAGGACCGTGACAGTGAGAGCACTCACATCCTTCTTTTATAATTCAGAATCTAACAAGAAGAGCAAATAACCTCAGATGATATTAAACACTTATCACTCAGTAGGGGAAAGGGGATTTCTAATTGTTGACAGTTTTCATCACAGTTAATACCTATGGGATAGGATTCTTCTGAGAGGTCGTTATTATTTTTGTTTTGAATGTGACTATGATTATCTCTAACATAAGAGAGTGTCATATCAACCAGAATTATAGAGGAACAAATGACTGAAGCAAAAGCTTAATCAGACATCAAGATCAGAGACTCAAAGATCCTAGAAGCTATCTCCTTCTCACATGATCAAACACACTTTTCTATCCAGTGAAATTGAAAATAAAAACCTCCCACACCGAACTTTCTGTAGAAGAAAAGGTGGGTAAGTATAAACTCCCATCATTGCCCTTTAAAACGTTAAATTCTTCGGCTGCGGTATCTCTCCTGGTGCACCCAAATGTGCACGGCTGTTTATCCATCCATACTCATACTCACTCTATAGACCTCAGTCTCTGGTAAAAAGTCCTCCTCCTCCTTATGCTCTGCCCTGGAATCTTTCCTGGCAGTACAGACTCATGCCAGACATGCTATTGTTCAGCCATTTTTAACTCTATCAGTGTAAACTTGGTGTCCCATTCTTAAGGATTTATTTTAGCTCTGTATTAAGTTTCTGTGAACAATTTTACCGAACACATTTTTGACACATGCTACATCCAAGGCAATAAGCCAATCGCTACGCAGAACAAAAGCTGCTGACTAACTCACTCAGAAAATCCCAGAGAGAAACTAAAGACATTTAAATAAGAACAACTTGGACATCAAATAAGCTCAGACTGTGGTCCAGAAACTGTGTGCCAATTAATTTAATTTTGGACATGTCAGGCATTTTAATTTCTACTTTCTTGGTGGATTGAAGAATCTAATAACTTTCCCCGAGGTCATAGAGCAAAAAGGATTTTTGAGAAAAAATTTGAACCTAGACTATATAATCTAATGACATTACCACAATTAAGTCACAAAATACTGGAGTTGGAAGAGATTTTAAAGGTGACTTATCCACCTAGCACTGCATCCTTGACAAAGATCTGAAAAAGAAAATGGATACACAAAAAGAAAACACTCTGCCATTGCGAACTTTATGGAAAGTAAAGGATGTCTGACACTCCGGGTGCTCCCTTTGAATGAGAAGCAACATACTTCTCTCCTCTACTTCACGCCTTACCTTAAGCCTTTGAAAGCAAATAGAGTGAGACCAATGCTTTTTAACCAGACTAATAAGTTGCATATTTAGATACACATGTCATGTGGTGTGTGGCTCTTTACTACGTTGACAAATTACTCTCTATTATTTTAGACAATTCTTCAACTAACAATAGTTATTGATTTATTTTCTGAAATTATCCAGTTTCCATGTTCTTTCAAAATATGTCATTCTGGTTAGAAAGTAGTACAGATATTACTTAAAGGTTAAGACTATGGTTCTTTCCTGTAGTTTAGAATCTATATGTTTACTTTTCAAAGTTAAGGTAAATATGCAATAGTCATTTTGAAAAGTTACATCATATCATTAGCTTTAGTGGGATGAAAAAATCCAACTACATTGTACAAATGCTTTGGTAATTCACAAGCCACCATCAATAACATATTAGAAGGTACATATAAAGTCGGTGATCACAGAATCTGACCAGGGAAAGGTGTATCTTGTGTTGGTCTTCAAAAACTATTGTCATATGAGTAGAATTCTGAGCTCCACTAATTCAATAATGAAATCCAGATAGCAGGGGTCATCAAGGGCCATTGCTTCTTTACCACTGTGGTAAAGTATATAACAAAATTATGCTATTGTAATTCTCCCTAGGAACTATCCAAGCTAAAACAAAAAACCACAACTCCTCTGCTGTCAAGATATAAGTACAACATTCCTGGGGGAATTAAACTCTGTCTTGCAGGGTGGCACGGTTACACGCAGCATAACTGTGTTAAGTCAGCTAGTTGGTCAGCTAGTTAGAGTCAGAATTACTGTAAGGAAATATTATGAATCTCATTACAAACAGAAATGAAGGAAAACATTTGTAATTCTTACTGATTTTTAAGTCTGATAAAATGTAATTACTATGCATTATAAACAGTAACACGCATGACAACATATACTACAGAATTTGAGAGGCAAAGAAAAAATCATCAAAAATAAAACTGATAACCCTTTGTTTTTAAGCTGAATTTAAAGGAAAGATCTCACCCTCATCCTAAAAGGTTATGATCAATATCAATGTCAAGGTCCTAGATGTCAACTTTTCTTCCTCTGATCAACCAGTCATCTGTTGTCCCAAGAAAAGAGGAGAAATAGTTTGCTTTGATAGGGGATGATCGTCTCCACAGAATCCTTTAAGTCTTCATCATGCTCATGCTGTCTCTCTCCCTCTCCCTCTCCCTCTCCTCCCTCTCCCTCTCCCTCTCCCTCCCCCCCCCCTCCCCCTCCCCCTCCCCCTCCCCCTCCCCCTCTCCCTCTCCCTCTCCCTCTCAAACACACACAGAGAGAGGGGAGGGGAGAGGAGGAGAGAGAGAGAGAGGGAGGGAGGGAGAGAGAGAGAGAGACAGAGAGAGACAGAGAAACAGAGAGACAGAGAGACAGAGAGAGAACAGGTACAGACACTAACATGGAGACAGTGAGAGAGAGAATACAGATATGAAGAAAAATATATTCATTTCTCTATTTTAAACTTAGAAGCTTCGGACAATATAATGAGAAGATAATGGGGTCTGGAAACCATTCAATGGTAACTGAATTTATCTTGGCTGGATTCTCAACCAAACTGGAGCTGCAGCTGCCCCTGTTCCTCCTCTTCCTTGGAATCTACCTGCTCACAGTGCTGGGGAACCTGGCCATGATCATCCTGATCCTGCTCAGCTCCCACCTGCACACCCCCATATACTTCTTCCTCAGCAGCCTGTCCTTCATTGACCTCTGCCATTCTACTGTCATTACCCCTAAAATGCTGGTAAACTTTGTGACAGAGAAGAATATCATCTCCTACACTGGATGCATGACTCAGCTCTACTGCTTCCTTGTTTTTGCAATTGCAGAGTGTCACATGTTGGCTGTAATGGCGTATGACCGCTATGTTGCCATCTGTAACCCTTTACTTTACAATGTTGTCATGTCCCATCATCTCTGCTTCTGGCTCACGGTGGGAGTTTACACTCTGGGTATTGTTGGATCATCAGTTCATACAGGCTTTATGTTAAAATTAAATTTTTGCAAGATCAATGTGATTAACCATTATTTTTGTGATCTTTTCCCACTCTTGGAGCTATCGTGCTCCAGTACATACATCAATGAACTCTTGGTTCTTTTCCTGAGTGCATTAAATATCCTGACACCTGCCTTGACCATCCTTATGTCCTATGTCTTCATCATTGTCAGCATCTCCGTATTCGCTCCACTGAAGGCAGGTCCAAAGCCTTCAGCACCTGCAGTTCCCACATCTCTGCTGTTGCTATCTTCTATGGTTCTGCTGCATTCATGTACTTACAGCCATCATCAGTGAGTTCAATGGACCAAGGGAAAGTGTCCTCTGTGTTTTACACTACTGTTGTACCCATGCTGAACCCCTTGATCTACAGCCTGAGAAACAAGGATGTCAGAGCTGCTGTAAAGAAAATTCTTAACAGGTGAGCATGACAGACTCATGAATGGAGTTGTTGTCATATTAGAAACACATATTTATTTTGCCTGTATATATTTGTTAGCCCTACTTTGGTTACCTATATTCTGGTAACCCCTAGCTCTTACAGTGTGATAATAGTCAGAACTGTCCACAGTCAGTTCATTGAGTTAATGCCTCAGCAAATGCATCAACCATATGATGATGGCTATGATCTCTTTTTTTGTTTTTTGTTTTTGTTTTTGTTTTTTGTTTTTTGTTTTTTGTTTTTTGTAGCATTTAGGTACCTAAGACTGTCATAAGTCAGTTTCAGGAATCAACAGAATGTGTTGTCTGCATTTTATTCTATCTTTGTATTCAGAAGAATTACCTAACCTAGAGTATTAAAAAGAACTGCATCAGTGTTTGCTAAAAATGATGTTGTTAACAAAAAGATAGTTAAAGGAAAGGTTGATCTTGCAAACCTGTTAGTGATTATTATATTGTTTGAGTAATGAACTGCATATTGGTGCATATGTCAACACTGTCCCTCATTTTCATTATTTTTTTCTTCCTCTGAATGTTCATGTGATTTTCTATGTGGAACTGTGGAACTTTGAGTTATCTGTATCACTGAGACATATATTAGAATAAATACTACAATTACAAAGAACAGTTAATCCCAAATCCACTCATGTTGCTTCTCTTTTTCTACCAACTGATATAAATTTGAGTGACTTCTCAACCATAATGAAAATGCCATTATCCATGTGAAAATACTAAAATCCTTTATTATATGCAGTCAAAGATCGTGCAAATCAGGGTGAATAACAGCTTTAATTTCTACTGTGGCATCTTAATCATAACTTTAAAATATGAGCTAGAGATATAATTACATGCTATGATTGTAGGAGTCAGCATATCCCCTGCTTTTCTTTTTGCTATTCATTGCTTTAGTTCTGTTTATTATCTAGCTCCACTGAAAGTTAATTGGTGCATGATGGTTCTGTCCAGCCACATACTTCCACGTATGCCTCTAGGACATAAACTGCTTCCTGCCATTCTAAGTCTAGTATTATTTCCATTTTTAAAATTTGAACATTATCTTTTAAAATGAATGCTGAACAATTCTATAAAGTATAACTTTGGAAACTCCCTCAAGGATCTTCTGCAAGATAATGGGCACAGTCTTGCTGATTATGTATGAAAACATTAAAGGCTTAAGCCTGTGCCCTTCTGTGATAATTTCAATAAAAGCGTAACAAGATAGCAATATTCCTCTATCAACAACCAAGAAGACCCAGAGACAATATGAATTTTGTAATATTTTCATTCACTTATTGTAGGGACTCAGAAAATAATATATAATAGGTATATTTTATTGATGGTTGAATTTAGTACATATGATGAAGGAGTTTACTAAGTTAGCTACAGAGTTCAACAAATGCCATCTGTGTGCTCAAGAAGCAAAACCAAACAAACAAAGAACAGTACTTACAGAGAGCCTGGAAGCTCCCTGGGGAGTCACTGACTCTATAGCAAAAGTTTTAGCACAGTGAAATCTGAAATGCTCTAATGATAGTAGCAGCAAAAGATATAATCAGAAAAAAAAAGCCTAACATTTTCATGTTGCCTTCTTCTTCCAATTGCCATTTCATCTGGACCAAACCTTTGGATTATGCCTCCCATTTTCACAAGGAGTACTTTTTTCTCCCTTCAGTTACTGACCCTCATGTAAATCATCGGTGAGAGTACCCCACGTACACACCCAGAGGCATGCCTAATATCCCTAGACCTCTCTTAATACAGTTGAGTTGAGAAAAAAATACACTAACTATTGCAGCTTAGTAAAATTACAACCTACATCAACTGTATGTTCATTCACAGCCTTCTCAACATAAAAACTGTCAGCCCATTGCTATACAAGACTGTCTCTGGAAACCCTCAAATTACCTTCACTGTAGAAACACAAGCTGTTCAGTATATATAATAGGACTTGAAAACCTTCTTCTCGTATTGTAAAGGTCACTGTTATTTTCCCTCTGAATCTTATTAAAATGCATCTTGAAATCTTGTGACTCTGTTGCTACTTCTCAGCTATCAATTTGAACCCATGAGCAGTCACTATCATTAATAAACTCTCAAGATGATGTTTCTTTAGGTGTTCACTCATAAAAGTAGTTAAAATAACAAATTTAACTGTCATTGCGTTTATTTATTTGGGGGGTTGGCCACATGGGTACCACGATGATCATATCTGGTATCCATGAAAATCAGAATTCCCTATTAGTAAAGTGACTGATGGCTGTAGCTGCCATGTGGATTCTGGGAACTGAACCCAGATCCTCTGAAAAAAATAGTGGTTGCTTTTAATCACTGAGCCATTTCTCTGGCCCTTGAAATGTCTATTTAACTGTTTAAACCATTAGATGATTTTTTTTATATAATTGAAAACTGTCTATTTTATTTCCCCTTCTGAGTGAGAGTCATGCGTCCTCCCTTGGGCTCTCCTTATTACTTAGTTTCTTTCTGTCTGTAGATTGTATGTAGAGAGATTATCCTATACCTGTATGCCTTTCTGGGTCTGGGTTACCTCACTCAAAAAAGATATTTTCTTGTTACATCCCTTTGCCTACAGACCTCATGATGTCTTTGTTTTCAATGTCTAGATAGTATTCAATTGTGTAGATGTGTTACATTTTCTTTATTCATTCTTCAATTGAGGAACATCTAGGTTGTGTCCAGTTTCTGGCTATTACAAATAAAGCCATTGGTTGGCTGAACATAGTTGAACAAGTGTCCTTGTGATAGTGATACCAAAGGAGGATGGAGGGAACTAGGTGGGACAGAGGGTGAGGAGGGGAACCCAAAGGAGGATCAGGTATAGGGAGAGGAGGGGTGGAATAGAGCGGGGAGTGAGAATGGAAATCACTGGAAGGTGTCTCTGGGACTAGCTGAAGATCTGGGACAGGAGAGGCTTCCAGGAGTCTATAGGGTGACACTAGCAGCAGGAGATATGGAGACTGAAGTGGCACCTCCTTTAAGGAAATGAGACTTCCAGGGCGTGTGTTGGGGAAGTAAACATACCCACAAAACTTTGACCAAAAATTTGTCCTGCACAAATTTGAGATGCACAGGGATAAAGAGGAGGCAGGGATTGAGAGAACAGCCAACCAATGACTGTTGGCCCAACTTAAAACCCATCCCATGTGAGAGAGCCAACCCCAAGACTACAAATGATATTCTGCTATGCTTACAGACATGAGCCTAGCATTACTTTCTCCTGAGAGGCTTCATCCAGCAGCAGATGGAAACAGATGCAGAGACCCACAGTCAAACGTTAGTCAGAGCTTAAGGAGTCTTGTGGATGAGTGGGAAATAGGATTGAGGGAGTAGGAGGGGTCAAGAACACAAGACCTACAGAGTCAAATAATCAGGGACCATAAAGGCTCACAGAAACTGAACTACCAACTAAAAAGCATGCATGTGCTGGGCATAGTACAAATACTGCATATTTTTAGTAAATACACAGCTGGTCTTCCTATTAATCCTCTACCAGTTGGAGCATGGGCTGTCTCTGTTGCCTGCCATTGAGTCCCCATCTCCTAACTGGACTGCTTGGTTGGGCCCCAGTGGAAGAAGATACACGTAGTCCTGCTGAGACTTGATGTCCCATGGAAGGGTTGTACCCAAGGGGCTTTTCCACTTCTCTGAGGTGAATGGGAGGGAATAATGGGGAGGAGAGATTTGTAAGGGTGGAACTGTGAGGAAAGGAGGAAAGAGGAGAGTGATGGGGATAAAGTGAGTAAATAAATTAACAAAAAGAAAATACGAAAATTGCTTCTTCTCTCATTTAATATAGTTCATCCATAGTTTACCTTTCCTCCACTCCTCCCAGTTGGTCCTTCCTGCCTTCCCTCTCTCCCAGATCCGTTCTTCCTCTACTTCCGGTCCTTCCTGCCTTCCCTCTCTTCCAGATCCGTTCTTCCTCTACTTCCGGTCCTTCCTGCCTTCCCTCTCTCCCAGATCCGTTCTTCCTCCACTTCCTCTTCCAAAAAGAGCTGGCTTCTAAAAGATGATGGCCAAATGGAACAAAACAGGAAAACAATACAATTCTAAAAATCTCATATTCAGGCTATACAAGACAACACAACAAGAGGAAAAGAGACCGAAGAGCAGCAGAAATCACCCGTTCCCACTGTCAGGAGTTCCACAAAAACACTGAGCTTAAGTGGAAACTTACGGTTTCTTTGGAAAGTCAGTTGTGTCAACGGATGGTGTTTTGCTGGGGCAGACAAATGAAGGAGGGTTTTCCTGAAGCCCGCACAGGTGAAAGCAGACACATGAAGGACCGTCACATTGAAGCGGACACAGGTGAAAGGATATCTCCCTCACAAAAGAATTATACCTTTTGTTACAGGTGAAGTTTAATTTTCCTAAATTATGAACTAGGATCATGTGGAATGTGTGGATGTACTACTCAAAATGAAAAAAAAAAGTCTAGAATGTTCAAAGTGGCTGTAATCTCCTTTTACTAACATTGGTTCCACATAAAACATTCCCTTTTTATTGATTATTAGAAAATTGATTATTCCTTTATTTCATTTCATTTTCTAACCTAACCATTTATATTTATTAGGCCTCTCAATCTCTCTCCAGGACAATGATGAGTCATGCAGACAGAATTACACAAGCTCCTGTAGCAAAGTGGTTTATTTAATCAGTGCATTGGCCTTCCGGTTACAGACCTGTCTCCCAGAAAGCTCGGCTGAGTCAACTGATGGATATCGTCTTCTGGTGTCCTAACGATGTTGTCATTTTGCAAAATGGCATTCTGCTCCCGTGAATCAACTTAATAGGCTGTGGTGCTGTCAAGTCTGTTCCCAACAGAACAAGCTCCTGTCTTTGCTGACAGAATGAGAATTCTAAAGCTGTAGGATAGGATCAGAGCCTAGCCTGTCACTAACAGGGTCTAGAACTCATGCTCACAGCCTTTGGAATAGTCTCCCAGACCTCTCCTAAAAAGGACTAT